GACTCAGCATATTTTTGTTGAGCTGCTTGAAGGCTATGTTGGGGACAAATCTTCGGTTTTGGTTAAAGTACCGCATTCCTTCCATATGGTATCATCGAGGACCCAGTCAATGACGACAAACAAGTTGATTTTAGGTCTCTTTGTCCAGTTTAGCCACAGCGGCTCCTGCTAACAATCAATGCGTGGGCATTTAAACTAGTTATTGCAGATGCTAGCAGGTTTCTTTATCGCGCTTGTCGGCAGGCGATGTTGTTGTATACGGTAAATTTTTGGCAAAGTATGCTATCAGTCGTGCGTTAGTTTGCCGGTTATCGACGTGATCGTATCTACTTCTTCTCAGAATGGGTTCCAGTTTGCGTTTATTTTTGATCTTGATTACAGTGACGTTTGCGTTTAGGGTTTCCAGTCTGTGCTTATAAGAAGATGTGATGTAGTTTTCATAAAGATTCGCAATAAATGTGGGCTATGTTGTACACTTCATGCGCAGCATTATCAGTAGGACAGGTATTTTATGGTCTTTAAAACCAAAATATAGTCTTCCCTCGACGAGATTATCTGTCAAATGAGTGCAAGAACGGATGTAGTATATCATTTAATTGATAGGGACAGTTAAAATCAATAGAAAAATGTTTACTGCTTAAGTAGTGATTATTAGCGAGTGCGTTTTTGCCGGCGGACGAAAAGAAATGCGTTTGGAAGCAGGTAACCTAGCGTAGACGAAATTTTTTACGACTATGCCGCATAATGAGCGATAATGCAACCTCGCCTAAGTCATCTTTCAAAACGCATTTCAGAACTTAGGTTAACTTTGCATGAGCTCAGTTACTCATATCCGTTGGAACACCATACAGTCGCTCAGGAATTCATCTTATCAACCTTTTTCTAATTATTGTTTGGCCATCTGCTGCGTCCATGTAATAGGAAATCGTTCGTGATGCCACCACTTGCTTGATACCGCCACGGACTAACGACCGTGGTGAGCCGAATAGCTAAAGATGTACATGGAAGTAAAAGTAAAGATGTAAAAGTATGTCTCCACCTCTGATCCCACAGTTGGAACCTTATGCATCAATTGGTTCATCTTCGTCCCTTGTGACTGCCATGAAAATAAGTCATAGCCGGTTCTAGAAGCCTGCAGCATAGATGCGACTAAGTCAGTTGTAGGTGTCGACCTCTTGGGTGGTTTATTCCTCATCACTTAAGTACTTTTTCCTCGTACTGAATTTGCCGTGAAGACAAAAAAGGCCCTAATTACGATTAACAATTTCGTATCACCACACTAGTTTGAGAGCTGTGCTTTCTTTTCAGTACCTTTTCTAAGCACTGCGTGTTCCCGCAATTTAAAAAATTACCACTGAAAGTTAAGTTCCTCTGCGTCACCGCGCCACATAACTGTGAAGTTCGTTTTCCCGTTTTGTCATTTATTGGGTAACTATGCTTATTAATTTATTGCATATCTGGCCGAAATCGTTCCCGTTTAATGGTTATTTTCTGCATTTTAGACTCCGCTACGGTGACTTCGGTTATCCTCCTCCGAATTCCTCCATAATCCCCCATGTCAGAAGATGTTACATGTTCCCTTAAGCCGCCATTTCATTCGTCGACTTTTGTGTTCTGTGAATTGTCGGTTCGCGGGCTATAAGTCATCTCTCAATAACCCCGTTTTTCCGTTCGCGATTTCTTTATCTTTACAACAACGGTCTCGGCCCTTGCTCCCCTTCAACAAGAGTGAATTTAACGAGCAATTTATTCTTCATGATGGGCCTCCGTACGCGAACGGTGAAATTCACTTTGGACATGCCCTTAACAAAGTGAGGCGGAATTTTCTCATTCTCCTCTAGATTCTAAAAGATATAACAGTCCGTTTTGAAAAGTTACGTGGCAAAGACTGTTCTTTCATTCCCGGCTGGGATTGTCATGGCCTACCGATTGAACTTTCTGCTATGGGCGCAAATTTATCCCTTCCACCTAACCAGATTCGATCTGCATGTATTCCTCTCCTTCAACTTACTTCAAACAATTTGCAGCTATGGCTTGGGCTACCAAATGCATGCAGTCTCAACTTTCATCATTTGGAGATTTCAATCTCCTGGTCAATTGGTCTTCTGTGTATTCAACGCTTTATCCGTCGTACCAGTCTGTCGTTTTGAAGGCTTTTAGAGACCTCTGGCTTAAGGTATGTCCGTTCACATGGCTTATTTCCCTTGTCTGCAGGGCTACATTGTTCGAGAACCGAAACCGGTTTACTGGTCTTCCCGAACAAAGTAAGTCTGCTCTTCGCAGTTTTTTTAACTTTCGTGCAGCTGTGCCATCTCGGAATCGGAATTGGATTATAACCCAGAACACGAGAGTGTTTCTCTTCATTTTTTAGTTAAACTGCACCGCTTATTGCCTTCCACTCCAGGTTTGTCTCAGAAGAGTACTTCATTTCCTGCTAGATAGGTTCCGTTCGTATCCTACTTTTGTCGTCGTCTGGACAACAACTCCTTGGACAATTGTTGCTAATGAGGCAATCGCCTTCAATCC